TAAATGGAAAGCAAGAACTTAAGGATTAAATACGTAAAGAGAGATGGGAAAGAAGCTAGGTAATAGGGCAGGGCACAATCATCCATTTATATAAACAAAATGGTTAAGGCAATAGTCCTAAGATCTTCCATCAGAATTTTAAAAATAGCAGATAATTGGTAGAATTCTCACCCTGACTAACTCTATGTGCTGATATCTCTGAACTAAGCAACTATCTTGTGGACTGCAACATGCAATACTAAAACCATGCTTGAAATACATGTCATTTTGGTCTTCTAAATGCATACTACTTCTAGTGTCATATTAATTATTGTGATACTCTCTTTAAAGTAAATGTATGCAAGAAAAGGTAATAAAAGTAAACAAGGACAAGAGAAACAAAATGTAACAGGATTGTACTGCTACAATGTTGAATATGGTTTGCTTTCTAAATATCTGTGTAAAAAATGTGTAATTATATTTTAACATTGTATAGGGATTTAAATTTTAGAACATCCATGACTATTGGAAAATAAAAGTTTCATTTTATGTCTAAGTTATGTGATATTCAGACAGATAGTGATGTTAAGCTTAACTGCCTCTGTTGTAGGATTATGATATCAGTCAGTTTCTCTTCTAGATGTTTCACAACTAAAGTTTGCAGACCAAAAATTAGACAAAGAAAGGGTTACAAGGATAGCCAATATTTTGGCTCTAGCCCTTTAAGTTCAGTGAGGACTCAGGACATAAGGGAACCTCTGCTGTGACATCCTGTAACTAAATGGTGTCCCAAATTTTCTGATCAAGGAGATTATGGGGCCACAGAGGAAAGTGATTGATGATGCATAGTGTGCCTGAGGAGAGTCACCTAGAGACTCTCTGGCTTTCACAGAGAGCAAATTGGTCAAGCAATGGCCGTAACTCATCCAGATGACTGACACTGACAGAAGACCCACAAGGTGCTGTACATGACTCCAGGGTAATCAAATCCTCTCAGGATTTGACTGACCTTATCAGATAGCAAAAGTAACATTTTTAGGTCTTTCTTTAACTTGGTCTTAACCACCCAGCAGAAAAGTATAACTATGAGGTATAAAAAGTAAAGCTTAAAAAAAAGTAAACTATATTAACATGCTGAGCTATAAAAGGCTCATTTCACCTGGCAAAGTGCAAGGGCCTGAGTTCAATCCCCAGTTCTGGAAAAAAAAAAAAAGAGGCTCCATTCAAGAACTTTGGACATTGCCAGCTGTGCTGATAACTCAGTACTTTTATGGACTAGTGCGTTATATTGGATTGTTTTGCTGAATTAAAGTAGCTGCAATGTTTGGGTTGGCATCAAGTATGAAAAGACCCTTTAAAGACTTCTTCAAATACAGCTTCTTTAACAGCAATGGAACACCCATCTGTGACAAAACAAAATAAAACAAAAAGGGGAATATAAATAAAGAATCATTTTATAGAGAAAAAATATTTATGTGTGTATACAAGATAGTTATGATAGATATAGAGCTACTTTCTCTAAGTTCAATGAGAAGAAATGTTTGTACTAATAGTGTTTAGACAAGATATCTTGTCTACATCTTGCCTTCAAAATAACTACTACGAAGACAACATATGCAATGTATTAATTATTGTAACTGTCCTACTAACCTTTTTTTTTGGAAACTGTTTCATTGATATTTTATCTTTTTTCCTCATTAAAATGAATAAAAAGCTAAATAAAAAAGTTATTAGACTAAAAGATGCGCTGCCATCCATCCCCTTTGAATCATTTCACTTCAAACACATTTATCTCATCATCTTGCTATTTTCTGCAGCAGTTCTGGAATTCTCCTTTTGTGAATGTTTTTGTAGTGTGTGATAAAACAAATATGGTATATGCTACTTCCCAGAGCCATCTGAAAGAAAGGGAGCTCCTGAGAGCATCACGCTGTGTCCTCGTTCACCTCATTCCCTGGCCCTGTGTGACTTCTGACTCTTCCCCCAAATCAAAATGACTGTGGAAAGTAAATGGAATTAATTTGGGACATTGACACAGCTATAACTGTGCAATTAAAGGCACTCATGAAAGAGGACTCTAGAACTGCTTTATGTGGCTAATTCTTGCTGTTGGCATGATCTGATAGAGAGAGGAGTAAAGGTGTGGAGAAAGAGGGAGGTTTCTGAGTGGGCAGGTGGGCCCCAAGCGTAACACAGAATTTCTTTGTGTATTGTACACACCCTACATACATAGTGCAGGGCAATTTTATTTATTTCCAGTGTACCTGCAACTCAACTGATTTGACCCTTGGTGCTTGGCATGTGAAGTCAGGCACTGAATTTTCCACTGTGTACCCTGTGGGCCCTTCAAAATAATTTGGGTTTGGTGCATTTTGGATTTTGGATTTTTGGTTGATGGTGCGCAGATTGCAGTTTCCTTGAAAAGTAGCTCACAAACACCTGAGGGGAAAGAGTGATCTTCCAGGGCACAGCTAGATGGCAGTGGGCTGTGTGGTCTTATAGGAGATACTTCAACCCCACAGGCACTCCCTGCTGTGGCCGCAGTTGGTCTGAGAGGATAGGAGGTGGCACACACAGCTGTTGGAGCTGGCCCAGAAGGAGACAGGTGGAGAAGGAGATGGGACCTTCAGAGGAGCTCAGGAGTAAGTGTGCTTTTGCAGACAAGAGCAGCAGACAACCTCATTTACTGTTAGTTTTACAGTGGCTCCAGGCTGTGCTGCTCACTCCCCTCTGCCCAGGTTGCGGGCTTTCTCAAGCTGATGAGAGAGGTTGTGTGCCTCTCACAAAGGTCTCTCTTGCCTGGAATCCTGCTGAGCAAGGGCTGGATAGCTGGACTCCCCTGGGCTGATGTGAGGATGGCCGCCTCACTTACTTATTGTTATTTCTCCTTATCGGCTGCCCCAGCTCTCCGGTGGGGTGAAAGATGGGGCTTGTCTTGTAGATAAGGCTTTGGCTCTGCTCTTGCAAAACAGAGTTGAGGAAATGACCCAGACACAGCTGTTTCCGATAATGTGTGGGGAGTGCAGTTTATTCAAGCTGGATGGCTCCCTGGGGTCTGGAGTGAGAATCCTATTTTTCCCCTGGGAGAAGTGTTTTGTCTCTGTGGTACAAGACTTCAAAGACCTTGCTAAAGGCATACCTGGCTCTTCAGCTGCTACTGCAGAAGTCTGGACTCGAGCAGCCTGGTTGTGTGGAACATTGCCTGGTCTAGGGCTTTCCCACCCAGGTGTGAGGTGCACCACATTCTTAACTATGTAGGGGATCCCAGCAATAAGGTCCCAAGCTCTGGAGCCCTGAACTCTGGAAAGATCCTGATGGACTACAGTCCTTGCTCAGCAGGGTTGGATCTTTACTCTGGGAGTAGTAATTACATTCCTACTGTGGTTGTGTTGAATACTAGATCCTAGAATCCCCTGTTTTGGGGAGGAACAAAGGCAGGCTGACAGACAAGCCATGAGTGGTCCTAGAGGGTTATAGGGAGGAGGGGAGCTCACGGAGTCTTGGGGGAAGCCCAGAACAAGAGGTGACAAGAGACAGCCAGAGAAGTGGCCCACATGCCTCCCAGGACCGGCTCCTGGAAGGATGGCTCTGCATCCACAAGCCAGGAACAGTTTGTGATGTCTTGAAAGGCCAAACCCTAGTAAGGTCTGAGCTTGCAGGTCAGGGAGAGCTCAAGAGCTGGCTTCTTCTTTCAGAAGACTTGTTTACAGGTGAAGCCTGTGGGGGAAAACCTCACACAGGAAGGGGGACTCAGAGCATTTGCTGAGGACCTGTGCACTTTTGTGACAGAAGCAAAGGCTACAAGATGAAGAGAAAGTAAGCCTGGATGCTGTGCATTTCAGGCTCCCTTGCTGAAGCAGGTAAAGAAACAACCTGTGCAGAGGGCAGGAGGCTTGAGGTGGGTGCACAGGGCTCAGCATGGGGCCATCATTGCAATCAGGGCACGAGCACTGAGAGAAAATCAAGCCTTTAGGAGGCACTTGAACTTTCAAATGCCAGGCTCTAAAATTAGACCTTGAGGATGGTGATGCTTCGTGGGGCACGGAGCCCGGCTGATATCAGGTGCTCTCTGCCTGGAGTCAGGCCCCCTGCTTGATGTTACAGCCTGGCCCTGGCCCTGCCTCAGTGGAGAGTATCCTGTTAACAGCGTCACAGGGGTGAGGGGCACTGAGAGCAAGCTGGTCACCCAGGGGATGCTTCTGTTGGCTGGAGGAGCTAAGGCTGAGTGATGTGGCCTCTTTTCAGCACAAAATCTGTATTTTGTTTCCATCATTGCTTTGTTCCATTTCTATGTTAGTCTCCTTCCCTGTGTACATTTAGTAGGAAGTTATTCTCCAGGTTAGGAAACACGAGTTGCTGTGTCCACGGGGCCTTATGTAGACTCCAGTGTTCTCTCTAAAGTGGCTGTAGGTATGTGGGAGGTCCTGGCCTGGCCTGTGGATGGGGTTCCCAACTTTTCTGCCGGTGCTTCTCTTCCCAGGCGGGGCAGCGTCACACCGCGTGCTAGGCTAGACCTGGGCGCTCATAGTCATGTGGGGCTGGGTGGGCCTTGGGCTTTTCTGGGCACAGTAAGCTTTCCTTGCAGACTTGTCCTTAACACATCTTACTAGGAGCATTCTATTGGAAAACATGGCTACCAAAAATTAGATTAAGTGGGAGGATAAGGTACTCCAGGCACTTGGTAGAACAACAGCCCTCATTCCCAAGGAAAGGACTCACTTGCCAGAGCCTGGTCTCCCTCACAATTCAGTGACATCTTCAGTGCTCCAGGGAGAACTGAGGTCCTCAAAGCCATCTGTCCTCTACTCTGGTGAGCAGGAATTGGCTGACTCCAGGTGCTGGGCCAGGGCCTGTGAAAGGGTGCTCTGGTCGCTCTGGTCGCTGAGGCTCTACAGGGAGAGGAGGCTGCCTCACTCTGGAGCAAAGTTTGCTCAGGGTCACCAGGGACGCAGGCAGCTGGTTGGGCACTGTGACTTTTCTCTTTTTCTTTTCACACCTCTTCTTTCCCCCTATCTACTTCTCTTGCTCTTTTCCAAAGTCAAGATTGTGAGCCAGGGACAAGGCTCTGGGAGGCTTCGTCCACTCACATTAAAGCTAGATTTGCTGGCATCATCCATCAGGGGATGGGAATAACTATTTTGTGCTTGTCAGACAGTATGACTAATTTTTGCACTCATGAGCAAGTTCACAGACTGGGCCTTAGGCCTCTACCTGCAGGCTGGATGTCCAGTCCCCATGCCTCCTCTTGTTGGCCTGTGCAGCGCCTGCAGAGGAGACAGAACTCCAAAGGAATGGCTTTCTGTCTAAGTCTCTTGCCCCATGATGGAGTTGGAAAGAGAGGGCATCTCCTGGCTCAGAGTTGGTGTGATGGTGCCTTCTATGCTGTGCCCAGTGCAGCTGGCACTCAGTCTACAACGTCCTCAGGATGGTGTGGCTGTTCTAACCAAGATGCCAGGCTCAGGGGTCTGTGGGGCTTCAGGAGAAAATGCATAAGCCAAGTTGCCAGGCTGGGTGGTAGGAACTTGTAGTTTATGGCTTGTTCTGAGCGGGGCACTGCACCCGGAAGCAGCCCTGTTCATGCTGTCAAACAGAAAGTATAACCAAATCCATGAATAAACTAGCTGCTCTGTGTTGAGTGTCATCGCTCATGGTCAGAGGCTGCTTCTAATACACAAAGTGCCTCAGGTGGGCAGGGAAATGGGGTGTGACAGGGTTACGGGGCCTATACTTTTCCTGAGTGCCCATCACTCTCCAACAGCTCCACTTCTCTACAGCTTTAACTCAGCTGCAGAGAAGACCTGGGCCAGCAGGACATGGAGGAAGGACGGGGTGCCCACTCTGGACAGAGCCCCTCACCATGCCTGCACCTCCTTTCTCCCCTCACAGGCAGCAGCTAAGAAGCCTATAACCAGGCTGCCCTGTTGGCTGAGGGACCATGTCTCCAGGGAGACCCAGAGGCAGCAGGAGGAAGGGGCCACACAGAATGGGAGGCAGCTCTGTCATCTGCTGTCCTGCTGGGCCTCGGCAGTCACAAAAGCAGGCATAAGAAACAAGGGTGACTTTAAACCGCTGCGTTTATTTTTATTGTTTGGTTTCATAGTTGTTATTTTTGAAGACAGATGTGTGTTATGGTAGTAGTGGAAAACCAGAACATAAGATTACCAAAAAAACTAATTACATTAAAATCAACCTTATTTATATTTTAAATTATAATTACTAGCACCTCTTAATTGCGCAAGTCAATGGGATTAATTATCCTGTTTTTATTGTTAGTTTCAACACAGGGAGAGCCTGGGTTCTTGTCTTTCTGCATCTGGCAGCCAGCCTCGGGTAACACGGCTTCCGTACTTACATGGCTCCCGTACTCACATGGCTCCCGTACTCCCTGCTGTCTGCTCACCAGTTTGTCCTGAAGAGCATGGACTCGGTAGGCTCCTGAGAATGTCAGGAAGAACTCTTAGAATTTAAGAGTCACTTCAGCCAGGTGCCTTGGCAGGAGCCTGTTATCCCAAGACTCTCAGAGCCTGAGGCAAGAGAACTGCAAGTTTAAGCTCAGTTTGAGCAGTTCAGTGTCTTAGTGAAATTCTGCTACCACATAAAAAGTTAGAAAAGGGCAGGGTGTGTAGCTCAGTGAAAGGGTTGGTCAGCTAGGTTGCCTCCTCTAGAAGCGGGCAGTGTGCTGGCCCAGAGGAGATGGAGGAATTTGCCCATCCGAGCTGCTTACCCGTGCAGTAGGAAGCACAGCAGTAGAAGGGCAGAGTCAGTGGGAAACGCCAGCCCCCTCCAGGGTGATGCCGGGACAGCCACAGCTGGGACCATGACCCTATGCTCTCAGGAGCTTCCTTACGGTTAATGCTGCCTAGTCCAAGCAAACTGACTGGTGGCTCCTGAGGCTTCAGTCATGGTGGGCATCCTGAGGGAGGCCCTCACACATGCATTTTAATGCTGCGCACCTCTCTTCTGCCAGCGTGTGTTTGAGACCCGTGGACTCCCTCTCCTCCTCAACACCTGCAACTTCTGATGATGTTGGCTAGGGAAAGCTTGTGCACGCCTGCCCAGAGAATGAGGCCAGTCTTAGGTCCTTGTGTCACTCCCTCCCACATCCTGCCCTCTTTCCAGCAGAGGGGAGACATGCATGGATCAGAGAGGAGAGGTCTGGGAGGGCAGGGGGCCACCATGTGTACCACAGACCCCCATGCTGGTTGGCACAACAGTAAATGGACAGCTTTTCTCAGGGGTAAAGGAGGGAGGAGCAGTTCAAAGCAGCTTCCACCCATTTCAAAATTCTGTCATTTCAGGAATGATCTATAAATGGAAGCAGACAGTATGTAACCTTTTGGGGATGGCTTACTCACTCAGAAAATGTCCCCTGAGTTTTTCTGTACACAAGTTCACTCCTTTTGGTGCCAAGTAGCATTCCACACAAGGGTGTGCCGTGGCCCGCCAACCCCCCACCCACTGAAGGACGTCTAGGTTGTTCTCAGCTTTTGGCCATTATATAAAAGCAGCTGTGAAGACATGCAAGGCTCTGTGTGCATGATGGCTTTCGGTTCTCCTCCAGGAAGAATGTTCAAGACCACCATCGCTGAGTTGTACGTGTGCATGCATGTTCACTTTTCTTAATGACTAAACTGATTTTCAGAGTGGCTGCACCTCTTAGGTTCCCACCAATCAGTATCATTTTTATTTTTAAACTGAAGTGGGCAAGTACTTAAAAGAGGCCAGCAGGTCCCAGAGTAATAGAAATATTGGAGCCTTAGCTGTTGTGGTAGATGTACTAGTGTACACTCACAAGGGAAGTGTGTAGAATGAAACACACACACACACACACACACACACACACACACACACAGAAATGGACACTTTTTACATGGGAAACCTGAGCACAGCAGGGGCATTGAGTCAGTGTCAGTACCCTCACAGGGAAGTGTATCTGTCAAGATGTTGCCATGGGAGAAACAGGGTGAAAGCAACTATGTAGATCTATAATTATCTACAAGTAAAAAGTTATTATAATTAAGCAAGACAGAGGGTCTTGGTTAAAAATAAACTTTGACATACATTATAAACTATTATGATTTAGTCATGATTTAGATCAGTGTTGTTCTTTGCTTCTCTGATTTTAGGGGTCAAGTTCTGGGTCCAAGATTCCCTGCATCTTCTGAGTTCTCCCTTTCATCTACACACCAGTGGAGGTGGCCTTCGCAATGGGGTTCTAACCATGCCCCCTATGAGGCCACATTAGGGAATGGAAGGTTGAGTTGAGTGGGATTACACTGAGGGAACTTGCCCTAGGCCACTGGATGCCCCAGAGGCAGCCCCTGCTAAGGCAGAAGAACTGCAGGAGTAGCTCAAATGTGTTGAGGGTGAGGAGACCCTGCCCAGACACCTCCCAAGCCAGGACTTCAAGATACAACCTTGGCTCACCATGTGGACAGCCAAGTATGAGGAAGATAGCACTGTCTACCAGGTGAGACTGGCAGGGCCTGTCCATTGGCTATGACAGGCCATACTGCCATCCATCAGAGAAACGTAGTGTCCCTCCATGGTGACACCAAAGAGGAGAAAGCAAGAAACCAACCAGGAGTCAGTCTGTGCCCTGTGGTTCTGTCCCTTGCGACATTTGGGTACTAGGGCTCTACTCAATGACTAGTCTTTTTTTTTTTTTTTTTAATTTTATTTATTTATTTGTGTGTGTGTGTGTGTGTGTGTGTGTGTGTGTGTGTGGCCAGCTCAGCCCACCAGGGGGGGGGCTGGCTGGCATGTGGTGCTGGGGGATTGAACCGTGGTCCCTGTGCTTTGCTAAGCTTGTTCTAAGTAGGTGCTTTAGACCACTGAGCCATCTCACTAGCCCCCCCTTTTTTTCTTTTTTTCTTTTTTTAATGTTTCAATGACTATTAAGTGCCACTGCATGTGTGCTTGACAGGTTGTAGGGGGCAGGTATCCTCCATTGAACTCCCGTGGCAGGTTGTCTATGACTCCTTGCTCTGCAGGGTCGCAGTGTGGTCAGTCCCACCAGACCGTCGTGTCAAGACTGAAAATAACTCCAGAAAGGAAGCCCTGTGACAACCTTTCACCACCACTATTCAAGAACAGGTATGGATCATTTTATGTGGGTCACGAAGGTGGCATTTCTTCCCCCGCCCTATTATCCCCTCAATCTGACTTGGGAAATAAGGTGTATGCAATAACCGAGAGGAGGGGCAGAGGCCTTCCTGGTGCTCTGTCTGTTGGGACTTAGCCTCCTTGGGACAGAAACTGTCCTTCTACCATTTCTATTTTGTTCATTTTGCTGAGAAGTCCACTGAGCCTTGTCTAGCCTGGTGGTTTCACATATGCACTTGTTCCTTGCTGTCTGCTGGGGACAGGTTCCAGGGTCTCCAGCCCCACCAACTCCAAACTGTACAGATGTTCATATTCCTTATATAAAGTGGCAAAGCATTTGCAACATCCTCCATAGAATTCAAGTCATGTCTATGTTACTTTTAACAGCTACTATATGTCTGGCAAGCACAAGGGCCTGAGTTCAATCCCTGGTTCTGCCAAAACAAACAAACAAACAAACAAACACAAAAACACAACAGCTAATGTAGTGTTAATGCTGTGGAAAGAGTTGTTCTGTCCCTGGGACAATGACAAGAGAAGACAAGTCTACATGTGCTCAGTATAAACACAGCCACCTGAGGCCTGCACACATCCTGGTCTGAAGTGTATAGTGATAGTTGTTTTCCCCAGGCCAGAACAATGCCTACAATCAGTGCTAAAGAAAAAATTACCAAATAAATGACAAATAACCGATTACTAATTGTCCGAATTATTAATTGCTATGAACCACACCTAATAAATGAGTTCAGTTTTTCCCTACACTCCTTGACTCTCAATTCTCTGTGCTTAGGATATTCTCAAATATCTTCAAGGCACTATAACACTAAGCATCATTATCCTTGTCTTAAAAGTGGTCAGAGTAGCTCTGCTCAGTGAATGCATCCATTGCTGCTTACCTTATGGAAGAGAACACCAGTAACTTCTGAACTGGTGCTAGTCAGGGACTTGGGTGTCACACAGTGGCATCTACAGGCTCCAAAATATCTACATGAGAGTCACTCCAGCTCCACTGGTGCTGGGGCATCATGGACTTTCACTGCGGTCACCTGTGGAAAAACCCTCGAAGATGAGAGGAGCTGTTTGCCGTGGGGACTTCCCCAGAAAAGGACCCACTGAGATGACTGGAGCTCTTTGTTTGTGGCTGAGATTCAGAAAAGTGCTCTGATCAGCCTCACAGGCACTTCTCACACCAAAATCATCCACCTCACCTCCACTCCCCATCTGTTCCTGATCATTCTGAAGCTGTCCTGTTTTTCTGTCAGCCGAGACGTTCCTTGGGCACAGCGTGTTCTCGGATGGGGAGGGTTTGTGGAGCATTTTCAGTCTCTGGAGCCAGATGGCTCAAGTTTTACTGTGTGCTGATAATTGACACCTCAAGACTGACTGAAAGTTAAGCAAGGCTGAGAATGCACTTCAACAACACCTGCGTGTCAGTCTCCCACCTCGCTCCTGGTCTCCCTCAACTGTGACCCACAAAAATGTAACCTGAGATTGAGGTTACTATTGGTGAAGAGAGATGAAAATAAGGGAATGGATTGGCACTGTGCCCCGTGCCATGATTTCAGTCATGAGGATGCTTGCTCAATAAAATCCTTCCCACAGAGAGTCAGCACTTATTCCCACTTGCTGCTCTTGTGGTTTTGGAAATAGACCTTACTTATCTTTTCCATGTTAGCTGCAATAGCATCTTTCCAGCCCACACCACGCTCTGCCTTGTGAAGTCCCTGGTGGCCTTTTGATCATTACTATGGTTTGCTTTACTGCAGTGATCACTACTATAAACACTGTGGGTTTGTGTCTTTTTTCACTCTGCATTTATGTAACCTGCTTTAAACAAAAATGTGATCATCCTGTGTGAGTCATTTAGAGTCTGCCTCTCTCCCTTAATATTTTATTAAGAAAAACCTCTCTATTGCTACTGAAGATCTTCAATATAGCATTTCTACTTGTTGTGAAATATTTATAATAGTATTATAGCTTAGGTCATAATTTACTTGGCCATCTTCTAGTTTTTGACATTTAAGGTGTAGTTAAAATTATACTATTATAAGTAATGCTACAGTGAATCTCATTCAATATAAATCAGGATCGTTGAGGCCTGAATTGATAAACATGCTTGGTTGGGTGTGTAAGTGAAATAAACCCTTGTTGTGCTGAGCTACTGGGACTTCGAGGTTGGTATGTAGTAGACTGACAACTGGTGGTCAAGCTGCAGTACCCAGATCGAACCAGCATGATGCTAGCTGTGGGAGGCCCACCTGAGGCTGCTGCCAGCAGTGTAAGAGGCAGAACAGGAGAAGCGATTGAGAAGCTGTTGTGGAGCTGCTGGTTCTCCTGGGCTGTTCTGGGGGAGCTTGTCATGCTGGCTTTCCTGATGAACGTGACTGTTCTCATCAAAGGAGGAGCTCAGGACCTCGTTGTCAAAGAGAATGGCTATGGGTCACTTTGGGGGAGCTCTGGTCCTCACCCTGAGCATGGCTTCCTAGCTCTAGAGGGGAAGGTGGTGCACAGCTCAGTTTCCTGGACAAGCTTGTCTCACTGGCTTTCCTGATAGGAACTCAGCTTTCCCCCTTCTCAGAGGAGCTCAGGTCCCCACTCTTGCTGAGGATGGCTGTGGTACTTGTTGGGGGAGCTCTGATTCTTACCTTGAGTGTCCTTTCCTGGATCCAGCTCAGATCCCTCAGCCTGCTCACGCAGATCCTTCATCCCACTGGCACAGACGTTCTAGCTTCCACCACTAACATTTGGGCCTTCCAGGCACAGATTCATAAAGCAGGCCTGCGTGAGACATTGTCATGGGCTCTATGTCTCCAGCTGGACTCATGCAGGATACTATCATGGGATCCAAGCCCTCAGCTGAAGTCTTTGGTCTTTAGTGTGTGGACAGATTTCCTGCACTATCTTTTTGCATGAGTTTTTGGGTGACTATTATAAATAATCATATAAAATATGTGCCCTGTATTGCATTGTTCCTTGCAAAACTTCAAACTACATGTTATTAGCTAGATTTCACAGTCATTTGATGATGGGCCTGAAAATTCTTCAACATTGCAGTCCATGAGCCACAGTCCCCAGGGGACCCCTGATGGGGCAGTGCACACCTATTTTTCAGTGCCTGCTCCACAAGGGTTTCCATTTGTACTGCATTGGCTAGAGTCAGACACACAGCCCCTTTCCACAGAAGCAGCATGAGGAGGAGCATGAAGAGATGGGGAGAGAGACATGGACTCATAAAGAGGCTGTGTGAACAGTGTGCACATGATGTGCATGTGGCGGGAGGCTGTGGGTCCAGCTGCAGATGTGGACACTGCAACCCAGTGCATTCTTATGCCTTAGCTTACTGTGCTGTCCCTTGTTCCCAGCCTGCCTTCAGCCTCATCTATCTACTGTCATCCTGCTTGCTGGTCTGTGAGGTGAAAATGCTATCTCTCCATGCTGGCAGCCTCTGGGTCCTGCTGCAGCTCACTGTACACTTTGATGGTTTCCTGTGACTGAGGTGAGTTTCCTCACGGGTGTTTAGTGCTCAGGTGCTGTGTTACATGGGATCAGCAGACCTGCTGAAAATTAGCCTTACCATTTCCTAGCACATGGCCCCTGCCCCAGCTCTCTCCTTCCAAGAACAGCCCCTACTCTAGAGTGCAGGTCTGTCTCTGGTCTCCCTTTCTCCCAGCTCTTGGGAGTCCATTCTCTCTCTCTAGGAAGATGGAATTTCCAACAGAAAACCACTCCCTTCTGTTTGGGTCTGGTGACAGGAAAGTCCCAAACACTTCTAACTTGGTTGGCAAGGGAAGGGGGTGAGAGGAGGGACTTTGTTAACATGGTTTTGTTAATGATAACCCAATGGAAAAATTTATTTCTAGAAAGTAAGCTGAGAAATGCACACATGTGGATATACATGTTCAACTCAGAATACCCTCCCACTTATGGGATCAGCAGACACATGCACAAACCTGAGGAAAGAGCTCTCAGAGAGCAGATCTAAGGCCAACTGTGGACTAGGGATAGCCTAACCCCCAAATAAGCACAGTACTTATTACAGAAAGTTTCCTGGGCATAGTGGTTGTGCTTGCAATCCCAGCATTTGGGCAGCTGAGGCAGGAGGATTGCCTGAATTCAAGGTCAGCTTGTGCTACGTAGTGAGTTCAAGGCCTGCCTGAACTACACAGCCGTGTTCTTATTAGGCAGACACACACTGACTTGATTTCCTGTATCCGGTGTTTCCTCATCCATTCAACTAAGTATGATAGAAAATATTTAGGAAATATTGCATCTGTACTATATGTGTACATACTCTTGTCACTGTTCCCTAAACAACAGCATGACTAGTATTTATATATTTACATTGTATTAGGCAATACAGCAAACAATCTAAAATGATTTCAAATAGACAGGAGAATAGGCATAGATTATTTGCAAATGCTACACATTCTATGTGAGACACTAAGGAATCACGGGGTTCTGAGAAGGATAAGCAGTCCTTTGAGCATAGGAGGCCAATTTTTTTTTAAGGCAAGAAAAATAATTAAGGTTTATTGAAAGGAAGTGTTATTATTCAATTTTTTGTCCAATATTGCATAACTATGTATGTTAATTGAAGCAACAGATCTGATGATAAAAATAGGTAATATAACAACCATTGTTAATCTGCTATTCCTTTTTTTTTGCTTTGTAATCAGTATATTAAGAAGACATTTGGGCTGGTGAGATGGCTCAGTGGTCTAAAGCTCCTACTTAGAACAAGCTAAGCTGAGCAAAGCACAGGGACCACGGTTCAA